TATGGTGGTGACGACCAACAGCGGGTTAGTCCTTTTGACGTTGGATCAACACTAAAGGGCTAGATGACATCTTTTAGGAGCAAATGTCAATGGAATGGCGTGAGGGAAAAGAAAAATTCGAGTGAGAAAAGCCTCCCAGGGATACGTAGGAGTGTGAGTTGGACTGTCCGAGTATGCTGCAGAAGTGTCAGCGCTTGTCCTGTGACATAACCATACGGCCAGGGCCAGAGCGATCCGATTTATAGCATTATTAAAATTGTAAGAGATTTCCCCGCTAGAGAGATGTGATTTACAGCGCGCACATCCTGTGTGCCAACACATAGATTCAGGTCCTTTTCTTAGCATCCGTTATTAGGGGTTAGGGTTCTAACCTTCCAGCTGGAACTCTCTAGAACATCAGGTTGCGATTAGCACGGAGATTAGCCCTGTTAACGTCATTTGTTCACTAGAGTACACGGGATTAATAATGAGACCGTGTGAAATCGCCTGTTTTAAGCACAGGCAGGCGACTTTTCAGACTGGGATATGGGCCTGTTCGTCTGGTATTAAAACCGGTTGAAGCTGTTTGATTGTGAAAAAAAAAACTGTAGATTCAAACGAACAGGCGCAGATGAAGCGAAGCATCTTGTTACCTCCCCCAGCACGTTGTTCTTTTTCCCCACATGCTCGTTATTTGAGTTTGAGGGAAACTTTTGTCGATTTCGTTCCTTCCTTTTTCGTGGTGGTGCGCGCGCGCCGATGATGCCTTTAACACACAACTGGCGAAGCACATTTCGGCGGAGCAGCATCACGGCCGCCCTGGCCGAAAACCGGCTTGTCGGCAGCGAATCCGCGCGTCCATTGCCATCACGTTTGGGAATTCGTGATACCTGCCTTTTACACATTCGTGATTCCTGCTCGTTTGGATGAACCAAAATTACCGTGGCAGCTGCACAACGGCACAAGCGAGGCAGGCAGCAAACTGACCAAATTCACCTGCGCTGTAAAGCTTGATGGCCTGTTCGGTTGGCTGGTTTGTGAAGAAATACTGCTGACTGATTTGTGTGAGAGAAAAATACTATTCTGACTGAAAATTTACGATCGTTACGAATAGGCTGTGAGGCATGAAGTATCAGACATAAAGTGAAGCTGCCAGATAAACAGAACAAAATATAACTCAATACTAGAGATATCTCAATAATAAATATTACTATGGTAGCAAAAAAAATTGTATTTTCTACCACTGAACTGTACCAGCAAATTCTAAAGCACGGCGGCCTTGATTAGAGGAAAGTACCGCACCACAGAGCAGTTGCTTGGAGTAGGGATTGTCCCTGTAAAATAAGGAAAGATTCCATGCTTTGAATAAGGGGAGATGACGTGGAAGCAAATAATTGAAGTGGGGGAGAAAAGTGGCATCTCTGCCCTGCCCCGCTTTATATGTTGTTTTTCCGTTCACTTTACTTTTGGTGCCTGTTTACTTCTCAAAATTTTGCAAAATTTTTTAAAATTTTGCATCACATCGAATCTTGACGCATGCAAAGCGTTAAATATAAATAAAAAATAAAACTAATTATATAGTTTAGACGAAATTCACGATACAAATCTTTAAAACATAATTAGACTATGATTAGACATTTAAAAAAATTCGCCAACTAAACGAGGCCTTAGCCACCTCTGCTCCGTCAAGTTGCATTGGCCAGCCCATCTATAGAGAAGAAAATTAATACTCCAAAAGCAGCTTTTGATGTTAATGGCGTAGTACATTGACTTTGAGTTCAGTCTAACCTTGCCCCTATATACGCACATGTGTTTACTCATCCGTGAGGGTAGCTTCTAGGCTCACCTCATCCACATGTAGGAAAACGCTGCAGATAAGAAGACTGTTTGAGCTGCCGTCGATGATTTTTCAAGAGACCCTGCAGGAGAGCCACACCCAAGAATGGCCTCGTTCGCTGATCTGAAATTTAGTTGAAATTAACTGAAAACATTGTTATTTGAATTATTATGAGAGAAAAATACTATTTCGACTGAAAAAAGAAGCCGAACAAGCCAAATATAGGGTAAGCCAAACAGGGCCTTAGATATGAAGAAGCAACGGTGCTTTGCACCGATTGCCGAACAGTCTCTCTGGTCTAATGGTCTATTTAGCAGAGCTTCACAAAGCTCTATATCCTCAAAACCAACTCCGCTCCAGATTTTTTCAGTCAAATGATTTTAGATCCAGCAGCTCCACCACATATCTGCTCCACGGAAACGATAAATCTATCCCCAGATCCATAGATGGTGCTCCACCAAATCAAATTTAGTGGAGTTAGAGAAAATTACTCATCACTACCACTCGTTACCCAACTTAGGACCCCTTTAGATTCAAAAAAATTTTGCGCAGTACCTGTCACATCGAATCTTGCGGCACATGCATGGAGTACTAAATGTAGACGAAAAAAAACTAATTGCATAGTTGGTGAAAAATTGCGAGACAAAACTTTTGAACATAATTAGTCCATAATTAAACACTAATTATCAAATACAAACAAAAATACTACAGTAGCCAAAATCCAAAAAATTTTGGATCTAAACGGGCCTTACACTTGGTCCTTTTTCTTTTCCCCCCGTAGCTTTTCTTCCTGTCGCGTCCTTTCACCGTCGTAGCTCCACCGGCAGCTCCCCGGCGAGGGCCTCCAGGCCAACAGCGCCCGCGCCGCCCCTCCCCTCCCCCGGCGAGCCGCTCCCCAGCCACCGCGGCGTGCCTCGTCCACGACGCCGCAGCGGCCATGGCCGGCCCTCAGCCACCGCGGCGTGCCCCGTCCCCGACGCAGCGCCCGCCCCGCCCGCCGGTGAGCCCGCGCCCACCCCCACGCGCGAGGTCGCTCCCCAGCCCGCGCTGCGAGGCCGCTTCGATCCCCAGCCCGCGACAGCGCCGCCACGCCCAGCCATTGCCTGCCCCCCGGCACCGCGGCGCGCCCCGTCCTCGAAGCAGTTCCCGACCATGGCCGTGCCCGCCCACCGCGATGCAGCGCCCGCGTGAGGTCGCACGCGCCATGAGGAAGAAGACGTTTTTTTCTGGCGACGAGCTAGCAGAGTGGAGTGATGAGGAACAGGAAGCAGTTCACGAGAAGTTCTGCTCGACTTCTTATGCCCGCTCTGGCGACGAGCTAGCGCCATGAGGAACAGGAAGCAGTTCACGAGAAGTTCTGCTCGACTTCTTATGCCCGCTCTGGCGACGAGCTAGCGGCAGACGTCCGGCCGCTGTCGCGTCCATGTCCGACCTGCCCGGAGTGGAGTGATGCCGCCTTTTTCAATGTTCCTGTCCATGCACACCAGAAACGAGCTAGTAGCTTCCTGTTCCTGCCGGTCATCGTCGTGCGAGAAAACACAGGTAGGAAACGAGGAATAGTCCGCACGGTGGCACTTTGAAGTAGGATTGCAGGAAAGGGAAAGGTGATGTAGCAGAGGACAAGCGCGCGTTGGCGACCGCAGAATCTCAGGACGATTCGCTGCGAAAGCGACCGTGGGCAAAGTGCCAACCACGGCTAACCTGTTCCGCCGGCGCGTTGGTTAGTTGTCCAACTGCCCAGCAGCCCAAAGGCATGCATTGAGGGATCTGAGAGCTGGGAAGGCCTAAGTTGGGCTGGATCTCGCCCCGGGCCTCGGTCAGGTCCGTCAAGATTCTGGATCAGGCCTTGTTGAAACTTGAGCTAGTCCATATCTGCAATCGTCGAAACGATCCACATCTTTCATGCCCATAGTAATGTGCGCATTCATGATTCATCTCTCTCCGTTTCGTTCTCTGATTAAAAAAAACACATCGGAATCGGATGGTATACAGGCCATAATAAGCACGTCAGGAGCAGGCTTTGATCTATTTGTGAGGGTAGGAGGCATGCAAGTCAATGTCCACGACGACGGTAAGGTAAAATGTTCTCTGGTGAATATGTTTACCTCGTCAAATCATGATCAGTGCCACTACATACATAGAGATCGTGCATTTCCTGTGCTGCAGTAACTCTACACGAATCGGAATAGTAACATGACCATTTGCGATAAAAAACCAGGGGTCCTAGTAACTCCTAAACCTAGGTGGAAACATTCAACCAGCAGCACTTAATGGCCGGCACAAAAAGGAAGAGAAAGATGCGGAGACGAGCAGAAAAGACACAGGAGCAAGTTACTTCTCTGGCGATCGTGGTGGTGGGTGCTGGTACTATGCACGCTAGCGTTACCTGGCAGTACAACGCTACAACCAGGCCATGTGTTTGATCGACCCATCATCCGCTCCCTCTCCCTGTGGACAACGAGTCCTCTGTCCTATAAACACAACCAGCTGCGGCCGGTACAAGGGCGAGGGACATAGGAGAGTACGTGTCTGCGTGACCGAACGCGTGATTTGAAAGAACGTAACCGATCAGGACACAAGACACCAACTCCGCCAGTTGTCACGCTCCTGTCTGTTACTGGATCGCCCCCGACACAAACTGCCCAAAATCTTGTTTGGCAGAAACATAATCCTACTGCTAATCTCTATTATCTCCATCTTTATCTTTGTATCCCAAATGATGTGACCTAGATTCATGACCTGTGCCAATATAAGTTGACGCAATGACACGGAGTTTGATTTTAAGGTGGTCGCGTTTGCTACTAATGTTAATGATTCGTCCGGTTCGCTGGGCTGATAAGTTATGGCTGAAAGTACTGTTGGCTGATTTATTATGAGAGAAAAATATTTTTTGTTGGTTGAAAAAATACGGTTTATAAAAGCCTAAACGAATAGGGTGTCAATTGTATAGTATTGTAGTAGTAATATAGTATACTACTAATAATAAATCATTTTATTAGCTGCCACCCAAGGAATCAAAGAATCATAACGCATTAATCCCTGCTAGTCCCTACACCTAGCTTTACATGGATCGGCCAAAAAATAAAAACGAATCGAATTACTACAATACCGGACCAATCGATCATCCCTAACCATTGTGCCAATAGCTTTAGCAACAGACCCTGATTTTTTTTTTGAAGGAATCTCAGCTGCTTGACACGTCCGCCCGTGCCCTGGCGCCGGCGGCGGCCTTGCGTCCCCGGCGGCGGCCTCGGGCGCGGGGCCTCATGACGACGGTCTTGGACTCGCCCCAGGCGGAGAAGGACTCCCTCTCCTCGTCCGAGTTGTCGCACTCGGGGAACGGCCCGTCCGCGTACCGCACGGCGTCGTAGCACACCGTGTACGTCATCTGCCGCGCCCTGAAGGCGCGCATGGCCGCGCGCTTCTGCGGCGTCATGACGGCGTAGTCGGCCGTCATGAGCCCGAGGAGGTCCTGGTGGACGCCGTGGCGGCGCGGGACGCGGAGCACCGGGTCGGCGCGGGAGCCGACGATGGCCAGCTCGGAGAAGTCGGACGCGAACGGCGCGTACTTGTAGTTGACCTTGTACTTACCCCCGTCCGTGGCCCACGCGGAGCCGTCCCAGATGGTGGCGTACACCGCCATCGGCTTCGCCGGGAAGTCGCCGGCCATGTCCGGGTGCCGGATCACCTCCCGGATCGGCGTGTCGTCGATGTAGAAGCTGCACGAATTGAAGACGCAGTCAATAACCACTGATTAATGTAGGGGGAGTGTGTAGTGTACGTGTGTACTGGAAGTTTTCTGGTGAATGTGATACGTACATGATGTGGGTTGGAGCCCAGAGGACGGAGTAGCTGTGGGCCTCGAGGGTGGGGTCGAAGGGGAGGAGGTAGCGCTCCTCCCGGCCGTGGCTGGTGCTGCCGTTGCCGTAGACGTTGGTCTGCACGCGCCACTGCCCGCCCCACCGGCTGCCCAGGAACTCGAAGTCCAGCTCGTCGTGCGTCTTCTCGTACACGTCTCCATTAGACAGCTGCAGCATAAAAAAAGGTTGTCACGGCAATTCAAAACTTCATCATGTGTTAGTTGGAATCTCTGAAGGTTGCAACCTGGAACAACCACAGAGCAGTTGGATATTCTTCCATCTACCACTGGAACATCATAATCACTGCAATCACTGGCGTGTGAATAGTAGTAGTAAAACTAACCAAACATGGAGGACTACCGATTCAGTAGCATTAACTATTTTTTGGTACGCCTAATTAATCAATCATCAGGGATTCAGGGGGGCGTGAATGACCGAAGAGGGAACATTTATTCCCGGGGCCAGGCGGCGCAGCCTTTCTGGGCTGCAAAGTCCAAGCGGCCCATGTGGGACTCCCTGTAGCGTGCTCTGCGGCGCAGGACATGGGCGCAGCACCGGCAACTTGCTACGGCTCGCCGGCGGTTGCTGAATCCGTGTTGACACGCCATGTGACCCAAGCACGAACCAACGGTTCGAAAGAGCGGCGGCGGGGATACGCTACTATAGTCTAAAAAAAAAGGTCCCTTTGGGCAGGAATGTTCCGGGATGGAATCCATCGAATCCAAATGTTGCAGCATCGATCGATTGAGAAGGAACACTCACGTAGAAGGCGACGACGACGCCGGCCGTGTAGTCCTTGGGCAGCTTGATGGACGCGCTGAAGAAGCCGTGGAGGTAGTAGTCCGAAGAGACGAACCCGGAACCTGTGCGGAACGAGCAGTAGGCCAGTAGCTTATCAGAGACAGTATGAACGGCGAAAACAGAGGATGGAAGACTCATGTCGTCCTCCGCACAAGCTACGAAGAGAAAGGTGCAGGAAGGATTAAAAGTTAAAACTCTCTGCAAGAAGATGATGCCCCACGTACCTGACCGGCGGTCGAGCAGGAGGCGGACGCTCCTGTCGTCGGAGGAGCGGACGAGGTTGCCGTCGCCGAACAGCGGCGAGAACCGCTCCTCGAAGGCCACGGTTGGCACGTCGAAGGCGGAGGCGGCCACGACAGATAAGCACGCCCACGTCGCGGCGACGAGCAAGCCCGTCAGCGAGACCCTCGCCTTCGCCGCCATGGCTGGCCGTACAGCAGAGCTTCTGCGCTGCTCTCAGCCTCTGGACTCGGTTTCCTCCTCCTCCTCTCTCTCTCTCTTCCTTCCTCGCTTGTGCACCGGCTGGCGGCGGCTTTCGATCAGGAGCCAAACCCCGACGCGTTTCTTGCCCTGGGCTAACTATCTTGGCTTGCTTTATACGCGGTCATGCTATATTGGCCGGAGCCCGGAGCCGGGGGTCTGCGTGCGTCATGCGCGGACGTTGGGAGCCGCCTTTTCCGCCGCACCCACAGCCCATGCTGAGGTGGACTCGGTTAGTGCGGCGTGGGACCCCCGTGGCCCCGGAAGCCCTCCACTACTGTGGAATGTGGATGTGCAAGGAGAGATAACAGTCAGGACCGAGCAGCCAAAGATTACAGGAGCGATGAACAGTACTATCACTGTGCTGTGCACTGGCTTGGCACAGAAAAGAAGCGGGAACGTGGTAGGTAACGGGCGATTAATAAGCATGCAACAGCTAAGCTTTGCTGGCGACGGTGCAATGCGTGCATCATCATGCATGGTCCTAGACGCCGGGGGGTTGCCCGTTGCCTTGTCCTGTTTCTTTGCCAGTTGCCACTCAAAAGACAGCAACGCACAGTGCATCTAATCGTGTTTTGGCGCGCGGCGGAATGGCTGAAGGCAGCAGCTGGAGTTTCCTGTTCATTTAAGCTTATTCCAAACTACTTTTCAATAATTAAATAGTGTTTTTTTTTAATAATATTTTAATATAAATATCAATCTAAGCTAAATTTTAGCATGAGCCAACATGAAAGTTAGGAGACTTTGGACGTTGCGTTGGGGTGAATTTTTACGAGAGAAAATGGTCGTGTCTGGTGAGAGATTTTCGTTGTTATTCGTGTAATGAGGCTAGCCGGAACAGCGCTGGAGGCTGGAGCCGTCCAGGACTCCAGGTATGCTTTGACCGTGTATTTATTTGTTCCGTGTCGCGTGGCCTTAAAAGATTGGCGTGGTCTCGGAAATTTCGTCTAAACTATGTAATTAGTTTTATTTTTATTTATATTTAATCTTCGCTTATGCGCCCAAACGACGGGGCATTAAGATTTGATGCGTCCTGCGCGAAAATCTTGAAAAAATTGCACTTGGCAAAAGCTTTTGGCAACTAAACACCACCTTTGCCATGGCGACGTGCTTGACTGTGGTTTGTGGAGGTGGGATGTGATGGGATGGGATGGACGCATGCGGAGGGTGGTTTTACGAGCCATCATTACTCGCGTCTGGTGAGAGATTTATCACACAGAGGGCGACGTATACGTGAGGCTAGCCGGAACAGTTGGGCTGGAAGGCTGGAGCCGTCCAGGACTCCAGGTATGCTTTGACCGTGTATTTATTTGTTCCGTGTCGCGTGGCCACCGGTCGTCCAGTCCTGACCTGTGGCGTGGCGTCGGATAGGCGTGTGTGCGCGCCACCCACCGTGCCCGCTGCTTTCACCTGCCACCGCCAGTATGGCGCGTCGTACCCTACATGCATGGTGTCCAACGAGGGCGCCCCGTGAGCTTCCTTATAAACCGTATTTTTCAGTTAATAAATAATATTTTTATCTTATAACAAATCAGTTGATAATAATTTCAGCTATAACTTATTAGTCAAGCGAATAAGGCATCATTGACCGTTTGTCCGGTTGCATCCTGCGCGAGTGCTCCTCCAGCTGCACTGTGGCATCCAAGGCGGGAGCTCCTAACGATAGCAGACGTGATCAACCTAATATAAGTGCATAACCAATGACAGTGTGTCATTATAATATTGCCACGTACTTTATCTCGGAGATGAGCTACTGTTGCGCATCTGCCAACCAACAAAAAAAGGATCACGCACGCGTCAATGACTATATAACAAAACACTGGTAGTAGTAGTGGTATAGAGTAGTCTCACACAGCAGCGTTAGCGTTAGAGTATTGTACTCGCACAACAGCGCCGCCAGGACCGAAAGTGGCAAGGTGGTATTCACAAATCATAAAGAATAATAATAATAATAATGGCCGCGCGCAAAGCCGCACACGACAGGACTAGTAATGTGCAATGCCCCAACACGACAGGGCAGGGGCGGGCCCCAACAAGGCACACATGCTCGTGCCTGCGCGCCGCGTCAAAGCTCCCGTGGTTTGGAAACAGGCAGATACAGCCCGCCGCGCGCTCGCGCTCGCGCCCGGGGTCTCACGCAGTCACGCTCACCCCTGCCAGCCAGCAGCGGCCACCCACCCACCACACCAGCCACCTGTTCCCTTGGCCGTTTCGGCACCGGCTGGCGGGATGCATGCAGCGGGCGGTGGCCGAAGGCGCGCGCTGTTCGGCCTGTGACTCTGTGAGAGGCCGTGTCGTCCTGGGACGCGCGCCTGTTGCGTCCTGGCGAACGTGAACTGTTGCCTTGTCAACGAGAGCCGCGCGCGCGTGCGATTTGTTGGGTTTCACGGGCGCGCATAGGCACTAGGGAGCTAGAAAAGGTGCTGTCTGCGCCAGAACACAAAAGTTCCATGAGTCAAACTATCTCGATCGTTTGAGTTGACTTTTCAATTTGAAGTCATTTAGCATTGTCAGTCGCATAAACGATCGTAAATTTTCAAATTTGACTTTCAAAAAAGCGATATTTTTCTCTCACAAATGAAGCCCCTCAAGTTTGAATCTCAGCAAGATACAATTGTACATAGCTCATTTTTCACGCGAAACCAAACAACGATGAACCAGCCGCATTCGTACATGAACCAGCCGCATTCGTACATGAACGCCACAATTTCGATTAGGAGGATCTTGCACGGGACCGGCCGTCTGGAGTCACGTCAGCCGCATTCGTACATGAACGCCACAATTTGCTGACATATACTATCACAGATCGATAGCTACGATTGCCAGCAGGCAAGGTTTCGTAGAAACGTTGGGGATTTCTCCTTTCAGTTTCCATTGCAGAGTCTCGGGACTCTGTTCTGATCGCCTCTCCAACAATCCACATATACTACACCACAGCTAAACTCTGTCCATAGCTAGTAAGCTATCAGAAGGCATTCATGATCGGGAGGACCTATCACCTATAAGCAATATATGGCGAGTTGGTGACCTCCGATCCCAATAATAATGCTTCTAGAAGTAACAATTCTCGTCAGTCTAATGACGGACTAGCGCCATCGGTCCATTACTGTGTAACAGCCACTTTTCATCCGCCTCCCCCTATGCTCTGGCCCGTCGCAGAGCTTGCACAGAAAGGAAAGGATAAGCTTATCCGAGCGTCAGAGCCATGCACGGATTGGGGCTGGGCACACAGACAAAGACTGATCGGATCGGAGGGTCATGTGGAGCCAACCCCACCACCATGCGTCCGTGCCCATCCACATCCGCCCTAGAGCTAGAGGTGCCGCGCAGGCAGAGCTTTGCCAAAGCAGCCTAATCCTCCCGTCCCGTCAAGGCCTTCGAAAGCTGTCATGTGGTGAAGCTGCTCCCGGTCCCGATCCTCGCTGGCAGGTGAGAATACCGCGCTGCTCTTCCATACGATACAAGAATAATACATGATTGCTCCCTTGTCTGTCCTGTTCTCGCAGCAGGTAGTGCTTTTATGATGTTTGATGTATGATGTATGTATATCTTTATCTTATTTGTTGTTCTTTACTCTTTAGTCTTTCTCTAATCTCACTAAAAGTGTATATATCTAAAGCAAAGCATGGCAGGACATAGATACGCCAGCGTGTCACTTGTCAAATATATACTCCTCGTAGCAAGCATCAGAAGCTTCTACTGCATCTTACGAATATGTTATAGCTGCGGCATCCTTGTGGGTTTGTGGCCTTTTAGCGCTTGCTTAATCTCGACCGTGCTGGTCCATGCTTAGGCATTAGAGAGCCCGGGTGAACGGGGCTCAGGCTCAACTGCTCGAGGGGGCCGTGTGCTGGTTTCCACTTGCTAACAGCTGTGCCACGTGCGACAGTGCGGCGATGCTCTGGACAGCTTGCCATAAAACGCCACGACGTGGATTACGCGTAACTGGTCTTCAGTCCGTTCGCTGGGTCGTATTTGGCTTATAAGCCATGACTTATCAGTCAACGAATAATATTTTTTTCTCACACAAAATCAACCAACGATAATTTCAGCCATGGTTACAAAACCAAACACGTCCAAACAAAGAGGGCGCTTATCACCGTATCACCGTCAGCGACGACATCCGCGCGCTAGGCGACGGCACGAATAATGCCACATAGTAATGCATGCAGGCAGCAGGCGCACTGCTGCACCAGCAGAGCACGCTCACGTGACACGGGCGTCGTAATGTTTCTCAATCAAAGTGGTTAAACCTCATAATAAGCCAGAAACAATAGTACTATAAGCCAGAAACAATAGTACTTGGTCCACGGAATCGACAAAACAATACTACAAGAATATTTTTGCATGAAAGAATGGCGGCCTGTTCACTCGGTCGTAAACGATCGTAAATTTTTAGATATTTTTCTCTTACACCAAACTAGTCAGCAGTACTTTTTCACGAACCAACAACGATCCATCCAGCCCAGCCAACCGAACAACAAGCATGGGGCGCCACAGCTACATGCCTACATGCCGGAAACTCGCATCGGCATCCAACAGCCAACACGTCGTGCACACACAGGTGATTGTTGTGGTGTGGTGGAGCCGGGAAGCCCTGTGTGCCAACGCCCAACGGGCAACGGCGTGTAGGGAAAGCTCGAAACAGGCCCCCCATGGTCCCTCACAGCACCGTGGGCACAGTCGGAAAAAAAAAACAGCACCGTGGGCACACACACGTGAGTTTATTATATGGGCTTCGTCATATGGGCCTTGTCATTAGAAAGACGGGCCGGCCGGCATAGAAGACACTGGATCCTCCTCGTGAGTTCTGGAAGCCAGCCACGAGCGACCACCGATGCGGAGGATACTCGTGGTCCAAGTCCAACCCGGCGGGTGGGCGGGCTGGGCTAACCACCTAACCTTAACCACCAAGGCACGCCAAGGCCCACTTCTCCCACCCGACATAAATACCCTCCCATCCACGGATCCACCCGGCAAAGGCTCAGCCTTCGGACCAAGATTTCAATCAATCACCCAAGCTCCCTCCCCCAAATCACCTCGTCTCCCGTCTCGCCGTTTCCTCGGACGCCTCCGGCAAGTCGCTCGACAGCGATTCCGCCCGCGCAAGGTATCAACTCAGTTCACCACTCCAATCTATGTCTGATTTAGATGCTACTTCGATGCGATTGGATTATGTTTACCACTTCGATCTACGTCTAATTTAGATGTTGATGCGATTGGACTATGTTTATGCGGTTTGCACTGCCCTGGAATCTAGGGTTTCGAGAGATTCAGGATAAGGAGGGCATTCCCCCCGATCAACAGAGGCTCATCTTTGCTGGCAAGCATCTAGAGGACGGTCGCACCCTGGCTGACTACAACATTCAAAAGAAGTCTACCCTCCACCTTGTCTTGCGCCTGAGGGGTGTCATGCAGATCTTTGTCAAGACATTAACCGGCAAGACAATCACATTGGAGGTTGAGAGTACTGACACTATCGACAATGTCAAGGCCAAGATTCAGGATAAGGAGGGCATTCCGCCGGACCAGCGGAGGCTCATCTTTGCTGGCAAGCAGCTTGTGGATGGCCGCACCCTGGCTGACTATAATATCCAGAAGAAGTCTACCCTGCATCTGGTTTTACGCCTCCGAGGTGGGATGCAGATCTTTGTGAAGACACTTATTGGGAATACTATCACACTTGAGGTTGAGAACTCTAACACAATTGACAACGTTAAGGCGAACATCTAGGACAAGGAGGGCATCCCACCTGACCAACATTGGCTCATCTTTGCTGGGAAGCAGCTGGAGGATGAACGCACATTGGCTGATTGCAATATTTAGAAGGAATCCACTCTTCATCTTGTCCTGCGTCTCAGAGGAGGGATGCAGATCTTCGTCAAGACCTTGACTGACAAGACTATCACACTTGAGGTTGAGAGCTCTGACACAATTGACAACGTCAAGGCGAAGATCCAGGATAAGGAGGGCATCCCACCTAACCAACAGTGGCTCATCTTTGCTGGGAAGCAGCTGGAGGATGGACGCACATTGGATGATTACAATATCCAGAAGGAATCCACTCTTCATCTTGTCCTGCGTCTCAAAGGAGGGATGCAGATCTTCGTCAAGACCTTGACTGGCAAGACTATCACACTTGAGGTTGAGAGCTCTGACACAATTGACAACGTCAAGGCAAAGATCCAGGACAAGGAGGGCATCCCACCTGACCAACAGCGGCTCATCTTTGCTAGAAAGCAGTTGGAGGATGGACGCACATTGGCTGATTACAATATCCAGAAGGAATCCACTCTTCATCTTGTCCTACGTCTCAAAGGAGGGATGCAGATCTTCGTCAAGACCTTGACTGGCGAGACCATCACACTCGAGGTGGAGAGCTCTGACACAATTGACAATGTCAAGGTAAAAATCCAGGACAAGGAGGGCATCCCACCTGACCAACAACGGCTCATCTTTGCTGGGAAGCAGCTGGAGGACGGCGCACCTTGGCTGATTACAACATCCAGAAGGAGGATACTCTTCATCTTGTCCTGTGCCGTAGGGGGGGCATGCAAATCTTTGTCAAGACGCTGACTGGCAAGACAATCACGTTAGAAGTGGAGAGCTCTAACACCATTGACAATGTGAAGGCCAAAATCCAGGACGAGGAAGGGATTCCTCCAGATCAGCAGATACTCATCTTCGCTGGAAAGCAGCTTGAGGACGGGTGTACCTTGGCAGATTACAACATCCACAAGGAATCCACTCTTCATCTCGTTCTGCGCCTCCGTGGTGGCCGTGTTAACTGAGGTAGTAGTAATGTGTCCTGCTACGAAGTTAATTCTATGGTTGTAACTTCTGTACTGTGGACAGACATATCCAGTTCTACGAAGTGTTTCAGTTTCGCCGTGTAAACTTTCTATATATAACTGGTGTGTAAACTTTCTATATAATCTGTTGCGTTCGTACTAGTATCTCTTCAGATGTAACTTTGTTTACTTATGTAAAATCATGCTCCTCGGATTCTTTAGTGGTCCATAGGTATGCTACTATTGCTGCTATTTTAACAAATTAACATATGCATTTAGCAGAGGCCTCGCTTATAAGTTGATTTATTTTGTTTGAAAGCAGACATTTAAAAAAAAATGAAGGCAGTCGATTTAGGATGCTGGAGCATTTGCGTTAGTTGACTTATGTGATGGGACCACGGACCAGTAGAGTTTGTGTTTGAAAGCAGGTTATATTGATCAGTATATGTTGAAAGCAGGGAATTTAGTATGCTCAGTAAAAGTTACATTAATCTATCTATGTTTGAAAGCAGGCTATATTGATCAGTATAGTATGTCTGAAAGCAGGGAATTTAGGATGCTCAGGCATTTGCATTTGTTGATTTAACTGATGGGACTACTAGCAGTAACTTTAGGTGCTTAATTAACAACAAGTTATATTGATCTGTATATGTTCAAACCAGACGTCTAGAATTACCCTGTTCGTTTGAACTACTTTTCGGCCAACGAACAACGTTTTTTTCTCATAACAAATCAACATAAATATCAACATAAGCTAAATTTCAGCATAAGCGAACAGGGTGGATATATTCATTCATCGGCTGTGCATTCTCCTGCCCCGGTCCGTACTGCGCAGACGTGCAGTTTCCTGGTTGAGAAATGTTTGCTGGAGCCCGACATTTTACGATTTGTTTTCCCTTGAACGCAGGCGATGAGCGATCAATTTAATGGCATAAGATTGTCTTTGACATTTTTACCATTTGTGATGCGCATGGTTTCCCTTGACTGCCTGCTTTCGCTTGAAAGCAGGACAAACTTGTCATTAATGTCATTCGGAGAATGACTAGCTTGAAAACGTACTTGTAGGCTTGTAGCCAGCGAATACCCGCCGACTCCTGTATATTCTACTGTAGATGACTAGGCATGTAGATGTGTGACCTGGGTGCGAGACTGCGAAGTGCGAGGGTCAGCAGCCGATACAGTCCCTTTTGCAACTTGGCCGGGTTGATGTGCTAGCTGTGAAGCTGTGATAAAACCATAAAATTAGCCCAGCTATCATGAACGGCCAAGGATAGGAGAATGAGCTGTATATATACACACACCCAATTCTCGGCTTCGGCACTCGATTCAATCGATCCTTTCATCGCGTGCCTGCTGGCTGCTGCGGTGCAGCCAGAGTGCATATCCGTCCAACCACCCAGCCACACACGGGTTCCTGCAATTCATACTGGAGTCGAGCTTACTTATTCTTATTCATGCCACCATCAGTAACCTGTTTTAAGTTTAAGAGTCGTTAATTAATGCAGCTTTGCCGGTCAACGCTTAGGATGGTGGCTGCGTCCTCCAGCTGCAAACGCTGAACGTTCCCAGCTCCGCAAGCTCGTACTCGTACGTGAAGACGCAGCTCCATCTGCAAGTCAAGACCCGATGTGAAAGCGAGCGCGCGGCGGAAGTCCAGGGATGCGCATCTCGTCGCGGAGGCCCCTGCCCTCTGCAATTCATACGGAAGAGAGGGAGGACTTGTTTGACGTTTCGATCCACACCAACACACGTGGATCGGGATAGATACAGATGTATCTAAACAAGGCCGGAAAGGGGACGGAGAGTGCTTTGTCTGCAAGCATGCTGAAAAGAGGGAATTCCTGTTCGTGTCAGCGCCGGCGTGGTCGTGGGTTCCTCTTCTCACAGTCTCACTTGGCCGCCTGCCTGCCTGGAGTCCTGGACTGCTGGGCTGTGGCACGATGCATGCGCTGTGGCCTGTGGCACGTGGTAGGAGAATGGCCAGTTGGCCACCACTGCCACGCGGGTTTTGCTTCCCTCTATCAAGCTGAAAACTTCCAAAAAGTTGTTACAGTACTTGTCACATTGAATGTTTGCGGTTTATGTATGGAACATTAAATGTAGACGAAAAGATAAACTAATTGCACAGTTTGGTGGGAAATTATGAGACGAACGTTTTGAGCCTAATTAGTCCATATTTGAACACTATTTGCCAAATAAAAACGAACGTGCTACAGTAGCCCTAAAATTCAAATTCGTACAACTAAACAAGGGCTTGTTTCTTGACCTCGAGTGCCAGACGTTCACCAGACACCAGTCGAATCTAATTTAAGTTTTGGAGTTAAATAATGTGCCACACTGACAGTCCCCTTAACGTTCGACCCGAGGCATGCATTTTGTCCCTCTAGCCTAGCCGGTTGGACAAGGTCAGATTTTTTGGCGCTAGTCGTTGGACCACGAAGCGAGGCCTGGTTTAGTTAGCGAAATTTTTTAAAAAATGGTATTGTAGTATTTTCGTTGTTATTTGGCAATTAGTGTCCAATCATAGTCTAATTAGGCTTAAAAGATTCATCTCGTGAATTTCGTCTAAACTATGTAATTAATTTTATTTTTTATTTATATTTAATGCTTTATGCATACGTCTAAAAATTTGATGTGATGAAAAATCTTGAAAATTTTTGCAAAATTTTAGAAACTAAACAGGCACCAACATTCGTGGATCCAAATGCTGGCGGCGTCTCTTGTTCGAGGTCGGCGTAGCCGTTTGGCCGGCCAAAATTTCAGCGTAGCCGCTACAATTAGTTAAAGTATGAGTCCGTGGGTCTTTGCAAAGCACTTGCAGTAAACGGGGGTTGAGTTTCGTCGACTGGCACAGCTGGCTGCTGCTTCACACGCACTCGGCACTCCTACATGCTACAGTTTTCTTGACTGGAAACCTGCTGCCGGATGTTTTACGCATATCCATATTCTGACGGTGTCGCAGATTTGAAGGGATCCACCCGGAGTCCCGGACCAAATCCTTATGCGCACAGTGGTCCGGACTCCGGACTCCAGAGCCATGGGGCCAATGGAAATATGGAATCAAGCGCTACGCATGTGCTTAGCACAAGAACAGTACAGACAAACCGGATATCGATCGCAGTAACGAAAGAAACCAAAGAAACCAGTACTTTCTATAACATAGGACATCGCATAAAAAAAATACTATTTTCTAACTCATGATTTCTATGAGTAATAATTATTTTCTCTTTCTCTCTCCTAACTCTATCTTCTTCCTCCAATAAAAATGTGACACGAGCTATCTAGAAACTGGTGGTTTCTTCCCAATGACGATTTCATGGTTTCTTGATGCATTGGGTCAAGAGTAGACCTGATTTCTTCACGAGGAAACCATTTCTATGATTTTTGCTCTCTTTCTTTATTAATTACGTTGCCATATCAATATTTTAACTACGTGATAAGTCATTTAACTAAGATAGAAATTATTATCAACTCACCGTTGGGACTGCCGCCATTCCCAGCCAATCATGGGGCGCCTTGCATCATCTCCCCACTCTCGGGAACTACGTCTACGTCCCCGTCCGTCGGTCTGGATCCAGGCTGCAGCGCCGTGCAGTTTTTTCGGGTTGCTTGGACTTGTAAAGTTGGAATGCAAGCAAATTTCTCCGTCCACACCAGGCAGCTAGCAAAACCGGCCGAAAACGCCAGGTGAGCGAGGTGAGGCTCCTGGTTCCTTTCACCCGCCCGCCCTGTGTAGCCGAGCTTTTCCCGTCGGGTGCCGGATTGCACATGAAAACCCAACCGCGGACGCGCTGTGCAGTCTGCAGTTTGCCGTCGGACCACTGCAGCATCATCACGTCGTGATCTAGTACGCTGCTAGCTTGCTGCCCGTGCAATGCGATGCGACCTGGACGGCGACGTACACACAGCGCCAATGCCGCTCGCGCGGTCGTCGTCCCGTTGTGCATGTACGACGCATATATATCATTATATTATGTACGTAGAGACGACGACTCTGAGCGCGGAGGAACTGAACCGTAGCAGTGCATTTTTCCCGTCGAGAACTGGCACACCGTGCATTCACATGGGGCAAAGCGACGGCAATCCTGGGATTTGGAGTTCAACAGTATCAGATTCTAGATTCTATGGTGGACCTACGACGACGCAGACGCCGATCCGGGGATATAGGGCTGGATAATTGGGTTTTCTTGACTCGGTTTTTTTCCGAGTATGAGAGCTTCGGTTTTAGAAAACCAACACACAATTGGTGTTGTAGAGTATCAAAAACCGACAACTTCGGTTTTTTCTCGGTTATCACTGCTGACACCTGACAGTGACAGTGATACAAGTTATAGAGCAGTTTACTGTTTCACATATGAACCTTTACAGGAAATATAGCAACCTTGTTCAGCATTACATGTTTCAAACGTTACAAAAAACAGGACATCAAATCAACAAAAGTTCGATCAACATAAGTTCACTTCGGTAGAATACTAGCAGTAGTTCATAACATGAAACTTAAAATATTACAAGCCAACAGGCAACAACCCAACAACACTCCTTCAAATCGATAGCTGCTAGCTCTCCTCTTAGTGCAAAGCGTGACTCGTGGCATGGTCGAGAAAACTGATAGCTGCTAGTTCGAGACTCCAGACTGGTCTCCTTATAAATGGTGAGTGCACCAAGTTTTGCAAGAAGTATAAACGTTGTTTCTGTTTGGTGTGACTCGAAAGCCAACACCGAAGCCGAATACCAAACTTTCTAGAAATGCAAACTGACACCGAACTGAAAAATCGACATTTCGAGCTTGTTCGGCTGGCTGGTTGGTTGAATAAGCCAAAAATCGTTTTTGGGTTGTTGTGAGAGAGAAAAATATCGTTTCATTCGAAAAGACTTTGTTCATATAAACAAAGGTTGCGATGAGTGGTGGGCTGGCCAAGACCAGACCAGCCACCAAACAACAAGTTGTTTGATTCGGTTCGACGTCGGTTCTATGATCGGTCTTCCTTGTAGATGTGTCAGTCGTACGGGGATATGTGATTTTTCAAAATCAGTGATACGTTGATACAAAAATACAATTGTCGGTGTTTTGAGTTATTAACTAGTAAATTTCTAGTATTGCACGTCTGGCTCGGATGGTGTGCTTAGAGGACACGAGGTTTATACTGGTTCGGATAGAAAGTCCCTACGTCCATATCAGGATCCCTTGTGTTTTCCTTTCATGTTAGAACCATTATCATAGCCTTGACCCCTTATATCAATAATATTAAGGCCCAAGGAGTTCATAGCCTCAACCAATATATTAAAAAGCCCCAAACCAGATGTGTTATCCACCTTCAAGAACCCCAAAAAATATTCCTCGATTTTTATTTGGGCATGGGACAAATTAATACATCGAACTAACAAAGTCATTTGTTGTTGATGACTCACATCGGGGTGCACTCGGATTCTTGCTAGTGCTAGACTTGAAGATCTCACAACAGAAACAAAATACTTTGTCAACATTCTTTGAATAAACTAACCATTTTCTATCATGTAACTCTCCGTTGCTTAGTTTTCTAGAATAATGGGCATATGAAAAATGTCTTGAGGCAGCATCACGAGGGAATTTGATGTTCTCTTCTCTTATAGGCCCTTTTCTCCACTAATATGTCTCGTGCTTTTATTATCAAATTTATCCTAATTTCTTGGATCATAAGTATCCAAAGTGTAAACCGGTTGCTCATCAATACTAGTAGATTATTCTTGTGCACTCGATGCATGAACGGTGTTCTCAAGGTCACTTACATTGTTATCATCGACACCGATGCTGACTATCACCAACTTATCAGGATTCGTCGAAGCAGCTGTACTACTCTTGAAAAATTTATTAATAGATCCTCTTTGTGATTCTATCGATGCATCCACACGTCCTTTTCTTTTCCTTTGTCATTACCAGATTCGAACTTTCTAAATGACATTGGGCCTGTTCGCTTGTCTGAATTTGGGAGGAATTTGGATGATTTGGAGGAATGATGGAGGAATCTATGAGAGAAAAAAAACACTGTTTCGGATAAAAAAAATAAACGGATCAAACCGGGATCAAGGGCACGTGAACGGGGCCATTATATCCCACGATCCTGAAATTTAAATAAACACAAAATAGTTAAAAAGTGAAAGCGTGTGTAACTTGAAACGTACAAATAAATTAATCATCAATATGTGCAGCAACGGTGCTTACCTTTGGATGGATGTCGACTGATCCTCTCTGTCCTCTGCCAACTGCCGTGGTGTGGATCTTGCGTGATGATAGATGAGGGCACGACGGATCAAGGATCATTGATGATTGACAGGATCATGGGATCATCAGATACTCAGATCGAATAGAAATATAGAATAGTCAGGGAGCCTAAGAAGTGTCCAGTTGCTCGATTGCCTCCTGAGTTCTGATGTGTTGTGTTGCTTCCGCCAGCCGTGGCGTCGTGCATTCGCTCCATCTTTCGAGCGGAATAGGACGATACCACACCAGAGTCAAGGCCGAGACCTGCGCTACTTCTGTATAACTATATTTGGGTCATAGAAACTCACATACGTATACATATCAGTACTAATGCACTATATGGAGTGAGGCCTATGGCAATCCGAGGCCTAGTGCGGTGGCACACCCCGGGGCCGGCCCTGCTTGTGATCTAGCGGCAAGCTCGCTGGCACACTGTGCATTCACATGGAGAAAAGCTAAAGGATCTGGATCTTGACGAGCAAAGATTGAAACAGTGGTCTGTTCGTTTGCCTAAATTCTGAAAAAATCTGGATGGTTTGGAGGAATATTGAAAGAATTTATAGAAGAGAAACACAGTTTTAGATAAAAAAAATAAGCAGATTAGATCGGGTTTAAGAGCACGCGAACCGACCCAGTGTCAGATTCCATCGATTTCCCATTCAAACAGTATCAGCGTTCTCCATTCACTTTCTTTTGACCGTCATAAATGGCGCGGCCAGATAGCACTGCACAGGCCGCATGACGACGCCTCTCCCGGCGGTGCCAGTTGATTAAATTAGTATTAAGTCACCATCACGGCATCACCGTGCTGAAAGCATCGATATATACGCTGGAGACGCTTGCGCGAGTTGAGAGTGCGCCTCTCTTTGCTCGCCCAAAGCAAACCACGCGCAGGCGCAGCCAGTACCGCTTTGCATTATTCAATCCGCCCACGCGCAATGGGCACGGACCACCGCGGTCTGGCCGAGGCCGAGCCCGAGCCCGAGGCCGTCGGCGGCGCCGTCAAGGAGGAGGGCATCCTCGACGACGACGACGAGGAGGAGACGTCGCCGATCGAGGAGGTGCGGCTGACGGTGCCGACGACGGACGACCCGTCGCTGCCGGTGTGGACGTTCCGGATGTGGAGCATCGGGCTCTTCTCGTGCGCGCTCATGAGCTTCCTCAACCAGTTCTTCTCCTGCCGGACGGAGCCGCTCGTGGTGACGGGGATCACGGTGCAGGTGGCGTCGCTGCCCGTGGGCCACTTCATGGCCCGGGTGCTGCCGCGCACCAGGTTCCGGGCGCCCGCGCTGCTGGGCGGCGGGGAGTGGAGCCTCAACCCGGGGCCCTTCAACATCAAGGAGCACGTGCTCATCTCCATCTTCGCCAACGCCGGCTTCGCCTTCGGTGGAGGCAGTGCCTACGCCGTCGGCATCATCAACATCATCCGCGCCTTCTACGGCCGTCACATCTCCTTCCTCACCGCCTGGCTCCTCGTCATCACCACGCAGGTTGCTACCCAGCTCTCGATATCGTTCTCACCCGATCAGCTAGCAAGCCAGCTGACATTTCTCGCTCTTGCTTCAATGGCTGGCTTCAATTCAAGGTGCTCGGGTACGGGTGGGCGGGGCTGATACGCAAGTACGTGGTGGAGCCGGCGCACATGTGGTGGCCGGGCACGCTCGTCCAGGTCTCCCTCTTCCAGTGAGCACACCAGTTTAACCCTACACTATTTTACTTCAGTAAAATCAGTAAGCTGGTGCTGTGCTACCTTTCTCTGTTGTGGGATTCCGCTTTTTGAGTTTTTCTGCTACCGCGTTCTTCAGTTTGGTTGGATTTTGGTTGCCTTTTGTGGTTGGATTTTCGGACGCCGGCGACGGCGACGCATTCTTGGCTTCCTTGAATTTTATTATTACAGTTCTTCACCTCTGGACTCTGTTGGTCGTTTGGAATCTCCTACAGCTGCACACGCATGGCAGCTCGTGCGCGTCCGTTGCTTTGCATAGAGCATCTAGTAGTATACTAATCTGTAAATATTTGCGCATAGTAAACTGACAAAACTTGTGATATAACCAAAAACTGGGAAGCTGGAGTAAGAAAGAAAATTTAATCTGGACATTTTTTTTAACGTGCCGTAGCACATAGTATTTCATTAGGAGAAAGAAAATTCGCTTCTTATTCAACTCTCACTGGAATCACTCCACAATCAATTTCCGTTTGCTCCCCCATCTCATTTCACCAGAATCACTCTAGTACAAAACTAGGAAGCTGGAGTTAAGAATCATAGAGTGAAGCACTGCCAAACTAGTCCCAACATTTTGCTGTTTCTTGGAAACATATGTAAGCACTAAGCAGCGTTGTCACCAAAGTTGGTCCCAGAACAGAAAATTTAATCCGACTGGCCGATGACATTAAATCGTTAACACGACAAAAGCATAGCATAGTTAAATAAAGACGAAGAATCTTAAGAGCATCATGACGCATGATTGCATTAAGTAGCTACTAGGCCCGCAGTGTCATTTCAGTTGGACAGCCTCTTTCTCTTTGATGCAAATTTTTGGTTTGGAGATAGCACATTTTTACGATTTGACACATTTTGTCCGATCATGGACTAATTAGGTTCAAAAGATTTGTCTCGCGATTTACAATCAAACTGTGTAATTAGTTATTTTTTTATCTACATTTAATGTTCTATACATACGTTCAAAAATTGATGTGATAGGAGAGTAAAAAAATTTAAAATTTTGAGGCAATCTAAACTAGGCCTAAGATGGTCCTCTCAACGCTCAACTAGGAATAGATCAGAGGACTTGCTACGTAACTAGCTCACCATGAACATGGGAGTGCAGCCACTACTGGATCTAAGTCATGATGGGCTATGGATTGGCTGCACAAGTGCTGATACATGGTTCAGTGCTTGGAAAGATAAGCTTGTGAACACGTGGACTAAAGTTTAATCCTTTCTACGTAGAAAGTCCGAACTTTCTACGTAGAAAGGATTAAACACGAGGACTAAACATGAGCTAATTATAAAACTAAGGGGTGTTTGGTTTGGGCTGCTAAACTTTAGTCTCTCCTAAATGGTTTAGTCCCATTTAGTCACTCCAGAGTTGCTAGAGAGGACTAAAGCCCTTTTAGTCCATTTAGTCATAGCGTTTTGAGTAAAAAATGATTAAATGAGACTAGATTTAGGAGTTTCTAGCTGAACCAAACACCCTCTAATTGCACAGATGGAGACTTTTTTGCGAGACAACTTATTAATACTAATTAATCTATCATTAGCACATATATTACTATAGCACCATATTATCAAATCATGGATTAATTAGGTTCAATAGATTCATCTCGCAAATTAGTCTTCATCTGTGCAATTAGTCTATGTTTAATACTCTAAATTAGTGTCAAACATCCGATGTGATAGGGACTAAAAATTAGCCCTCGGATGTTAATTAGGAGGACTAACATGAGTTAATTATAAAACTAATTGCAGAAGCCGTGGCTAATTCAGAAGACAAATCTATTAAGCCCATTTAATCTATAATTATCATATGTTACTGTAGCATAACATTGCCAAATTATAGACTAATTAAGCTCAATAGATTCGTCTCAGGAAATAGATATAATTAGTTTTATAATTAACCTATGTTTAATACTTCTAATCATAATCAAACACTTTATAATCTCACGTATCTAGATGCATGCTAGACCAATGATCAAAGTCTCCATGACAAGACCCAGTGGAGGAGGCCAAAGCAGCCTTCTGCCTTCATGCGGCATGTCCCAGACCCACGCGCGTAGCGTTCCCTCACTCGAGTCCACGCGGTCAGCGATTGCCTCGTTTTTCTGCCAGTTCTTGACAAACTCGCGCGAATACGACCCTTTACCGCAGCCGGCTGCCTGCGCGATGTGAACGCGCGCTTGGCTGCGTGTTCTGACCGAGGGGACGCCGGAGGGGCAGGGGGAGGAGACCTTGCATCTCTGAAAAGTGAAAAGAAACTGTGTGCCGCGAGTCCGCAAGTGGGTGGATTGGATTTCAGAAGCTGACAGCTCTGTGTGTGGTCCAGATCCAAGTGGCCTTGAAAAGGCGCAGCGGTGCCCTGCACTTGCACATGCTTACAGGCCCGCGTTCCTGCCCATATGTGATGGGCTCGAACTTGGATTTTGTTTATGTATACATACTGACAACAAATAAAAAACAAGGTGTTGTGGTGTGGGTTTGTATAGCAACTAAACAAATTATTGTCGGTCTTAGTACTGCTCTGACATTTCGCTGATAAAATTGTTTGAACAACAAGGGTGATCATCTAGGTTAGGTTATGTTGTTGCGAAGGGATCCGAAATCATATGCTAGCTGACCAGAGACGGTCGGCTGCAAATACAGTATAATGTGAGGCAGAAAATTGAAGTGTACTACCTCTGACCCAAAGAGAATCTAATCCTATGTTTAGATCAAGTTTTTTTTAATTTAGCTAGATTTATATAAAAAAAAAACTCCTCATTTGCTCCACATCCAAAGCACATGTATGTGGATAACTCATCTGACGGAGCTGCGGTGCCGCTGTGTAAGGGTGGGTAGGGGTTCGAAGGTTTTCTCGATCTACGTGAGAAGATGTTCTTCTTAAGCCAGAATACCGGGGGCTGTCTAGCCCCTGCGGATCGAAGTTTTTTAAAAAAAAATAGTATTAATATTTGTATGTCCAAATTGATTTATTTTGAAAATACATATTATAATAATCTACTGATACTTATTACGCATAGATATTTACTGTATATATGGTTAAACTTAAGATTGATTGACCCATCGAAAAGTGAGAGTTACATCTTCTTTGGATGGGAGAGTATATTATAAGCATGGTTTTATATTGTATCAATTTTTTATATTACCCAATTCTTGTGTAGAAAATAACGGGCTATAAGTTAGGACAATATATTACTCTAATTGGAATTTGAAACAGGACCATCAATGGTTACTCATGAACCATTTTTTGTCTGCATAACCAACCTTGTGATCAGTTGAAATCTCGATAAATTTTGAATGGCTGCATCTTTTCATTGTAAATTGCTTGCACTGAGATGAGAAATACTTAATTTTTGTACACCAATCTGATTAAAGAAAAGGGAAAATTGATGGGGGGCTGTCCTCTATCATTTCATGACATCGTATTTTAGAAATACCACTAACAATAGCACTAATCATGTGTCCTTAATGTTGAATCAGGGCATTGCATGAGAAGGACGAATCCGCCAAAGCCTCACGCCAGATCTCTCGTTCCAAGTTCTTCGTGGTGGTGCTCGCATGCAGTTTCGCTTGGTACGCCGTGCCGGGCTACCTCTTCCCGACACTAACGTCCATCTCATGGGTGTGTTGGGTCTTCTCCAAGTCCGTGACGGCGCAGCAGTTGGGGTCGGGCATGAAGGGCCTTGGTCTTGGTGCCTTCACACTCGATTGGACCGCTGTCGCCTCATTCCTCTTCAGTCCCCTCATCTCACCCTTCTTTGCTATCGCCAACGTCTTCTTTGGCTATGCTTTCTTTCTCTACGTGATCATGCCTATAGCATATTGGGGGTTCGACCTGTACAACGCCAAGACATTCCCTATCTTCTCCTCGCACTTGTTCATGTCAAATGGCACCAACTACGACGTCAAATCAATTGTGAACAATCGGTTTGAGCTTAACCGGGACGCTTATGAAAAGAATGGCAAAGTCAACCTCAGCATATTCTTTGCACTCAGTTATGGGTTCAGCTTCGCCACCATTGCGGCCACCATCACTCATGTCGGATTCTTCTATGGAAAGTATGGCATCATGAGAAAAATACTCCATACAACATGCTTTGATTACGTGCAACCCGAAATAAAAAAGGACACTACTTACATCTTAACGGAATGCCTGATTCTAATAAGTTTCTTTGTTTCAAAATGGGTATGCCGATGTCCAGGGAAATCTACCACCGTTTCAAATCATCGCAGAAGGAGAAGCCTGACATCCACACGAAGCTGATGAGGAAGTACAGTGAAATCCCAGCATGGTGGTTTTACTCGTTGATGGCGTTGTCAATTACAGCGTCCCTCCTCCTCTGTACTGTACTGAAGCGTGAGGTACAACTCCCGTGGTGGGGCCTCATTTTCGCATGTGGCATGGCATTCATCTTCACACTTCCCATCAGCATCATCACTGCGACAACCAACCAGGCAAGTAACACGTTTGCATGTTTTATGTTCTTTTTAGAAAATAAAACAAAAAGGATAGATGTTTGAGGTATTGCCATGCATGGTGATAATCTATGCACAAAAAGGTTGACATACCCTCCAAAATGCCTTCTGCAGTCGCCTGGTCTGAATGTGATCACTGAGTATGCCATGGGTCTAATTATGCCGGGCTCTCCTATCGCCGTTGTCTGCTTTAAAGTCTATGGCTACATGAGCATGGCACAGGCTGTTGCCTTCCTCTCGGACTTCAAACTTGGCCACTATATGAAGATCCCTCCGAAGTCCATGTTCCTTGTTCAGGTATAAATAAAGACCCCCAAATGTAGTGTTCTTGTAAATGAATTGGTGAGTTGCATAAAAGAAACAAAAGGTACTAATCTTCAATTACTGTATTTACATAGTTTGTTGGCACCATTGTGGCTGGCACGGTCAACATTGGGACGGCATGGTGGCTGCTCGGCTCCATCCACGACATCTGCTCAGATTCACTCCCACCAGATAGCCCCTGGACATGTCCTAATGACCGTGTGTTCTTCGACGCATCAGTCATCTGGGGCCTTGTCGGTCCAAGGCGCATCTTTGGGCCAGATGGGAACTACGGCGCCCTCAACTGGTTCTTCCTCATCGGCCTAGCAGGCCCAGTTATCGTATACGCTTTCCATAGGATGTTCCCCAACCAGAAGTGGATTCCATTGATCAATCTTCCGGTGCTCTTTGGTGCAACAGCCTACATGCCTCCAGCGACGGCTGTGAACTATAACTCATGGCTGCTTATTGGTACCATCTTCAATTTCTTCGTGTTTCGATACCGGAAGAGGTGGTGGACGCGGTACAACTACATTCTCTCCGCTGGGCTCGATGCCGGAGTTGCATTTATGGGGATCGTGCTGTACTTTTCGCTAACCATGGAAAACAAGAGCATCGATTGGTGGGGTACCGCAGGAGAGCACTGCCCTCTTGCCTCGTGTCCTACTGCTAAAGGGGTGGACTTGGGTGATGGCGCCTGTCCAGTCTTCTAAGCCTGGAGTTTAATGTCTCAACATTTTGCTGCAAGTTTAGCAATGATCAGTTCCAGTTATGTTGATGTCATAGATTTGTGGTATATATGTGGAGTATTATGCAACTCTCTTGTGTGTAAAGGGTCATATTCTCATGTAATGGCCCTGTTCGCTTCTCTTATAATATATCTTTTTCAGCTTATTTTTCAGCCGGAACCGTATTTTTCTCTCACAACAAATCAGCCGGAACAGTGTTTCGGCTTATTTTTTCAGCGAAGTGAACGGGACCAATACTTAGTAGTCGATTTCACAGAAGGAAAGGTCGAAACAATTGGGAAAACCAATGTGCAAATAGGTTTATCATTTGGGCAATGCAAAAGCATGCTAGTTCCTGAAATCATACAAATTTAGTCATTACAAGATCATACCCTCCATACCATGCACCTCAAATATAAGGGGACGTCACTATTAGGTAACGGGTATTTTGCCCAGGCCTAAACTCACTATCGCCGTGCTCAGAGCATCAATCACCGAGCGAGTATCGATCGTGGATATATTTGGTTTAGTCGTGAATTATTTACGATTGCTAAAAATTTACGACATTGCGCAGCAAGCAAACTTTGAATATAGACGCTTGACGCGCGCGCGCCTCACAAGCCGTACTAGCTCAGGTAGTCAGTGTGCCTCTCTTTGCTAGGCCAAAGCAAAGCACGCGCAGGCGCTGCCAGTACCGCTCGCCGTATTATTCAATCCGCCCACGAACGATGGGTGAGATCGGCACGGACGACCGCGGTCTGGCCGAGCCCATGGGCGCCGTCAAGGAGGAGGGCATCCTCGACGACGACAACGACGAGGAGACGTCGCCGATCGAGCAAGTGCGGCTGACGGTGCCGAGGACAGACGACCCGTCGCTGCCGGTGTGGACGTTCCGGATGTGGAGCATCGGGCTGCTGTCGTGCGCGCTCATGAGCTTCCTCAACCAGTTCTTCTCCTACCGGACGGAGCCGCTCATCGTGACGCAGATCACGGTGCAGGTGGCGTCGCTGCCCGTGGGCCACTTCATGGCCCGGGTGCTGCCGCGCACCAGGTTCCAGGCGCCCGCGATGTTGGGCGGCGGGGAGTGGAGCCTCAACCCGGGCCCCTTCAACATCAAGGAGCACGTGCTCATCTCCATCTTCGCCAACGCCGGCTTCGCATTCGGCGTAGGGAGTGCGTACGCCGTCGGCATCATCAACATCATCCGCGCCTTCTACCAACGCCAAATCTCCTTCTTCACCGCCTGGCTCCTCGTCATCACCACGCAGGTTTGCTGCCAACCAAGCTAGCTTCTGCAAGATCAATTGCCATCCTTAGTCCTTACCCCATCAGCTACTACTACTAGCTAAGCAACTGACATTAACTTGGTGGAATTTCTGGCTCTGGCATTGCTTCTATGGCTGGCTGGCTCAAGGTGCTTGGGTACGGATGGGCAGGGCTGATGCGCAAGTATGTGGTGGAACCGGCGCACATGTGGTGGCCGAGCACGCTCGTCCAGGTCTCCCTCTTCCGGTGAGCACAAGTTTCACTCTAGTCCTAGGCTATTTTCGCTTCAGTAAAACCAAATAGCTGGTGCTCTGCATGCTACCTTTCTCTGTCGTTGCCTTCGGCTTTTTGAATTTTTCTGCTACCGCGTTCTTCAGTTTGGTCGGATTTTGGTTAACGTTTGTCGTTGGATTTTCGGAAGCCGGCGAGACCAACACGTTCTTTGGCATCTTGTAATTAATTTTTTCGAAACAAAAGTGGGGCAGGATTTTGCTCTCGTCTACATTATTGTCGTTCCAAGATCTTTTGACGAGCGCAAAGAGAAAGGAGTGGAGCGGCTTTCGTGCTATACCTTTGCTGCTTTGCAACGGGGTCGGATAAGAAAGTTGCTCGGATCGATAAAGATCTCCATTGCAAAGTCTGCAATTTTAATTTAGCTTCAAAATAAAGAGAACAGAGTCTACACGTTATTACGTAGTACCAGCCTAGCGCCCTCTCGGAATGATTGAATGATGAAGCGAGCTAACACAAGCATTCTTATGCTAAGCCATAGCACAGTACTAATTTTCTTCTCGATTAAGCTCCACCTGTAGCTGCCCTACCCTTGATGGAATTCAGTTTGTCGCTGATACTGAATCTTACCAGCCTCTAGCCCTCTATCGCAGCGCCACATTGCACCGATCGATTAGACTGAAAAATTAGCATCCCTTTCATCAGAACGCGAGATTCCGATGGGCGATGGCCATGATTGCGGTGGCATCACTCTGGCCGTCTGGCGTCCCCGCTTCATGTGGCGTCATCAGTCCAATTTGCAATACTGTTTTCTCTGAATTGGCAGTCGTTTTCTCGTGAAGCCAATCCGGGGAGTGCCTGTGAAAGCAACATTCGCTGCATCCGCCAAACTACAGCTAGTCTAGTCTAGTGATACTGATACACATCCTTACGTTGGCACTAGCGGTTATAAAGGTAACTTGTGATGGAACCCCATAACCTAGATGGATGCTAGACCCAATCACCAAACGATCAAAGTCTCCAATGACAAGACCGTGGCGGAGGAAACCATAGTCAAGTCCAGGACGACAGAAATCACGGGATGCTCTGGGACAGCGATTACCCGGATAGGCGTTTTTCTGCCGGTTATCGACAAACTTGCTTGGTTTCTCCGCCGGATACGACGACCCTGGGTCCTTGGCACCATTGCGACGCAGCCAGCTGCCGGCACCATGTGAATGGGCGGGATAAGCGTATCTATAGCTCTTTTTTTAAAGAACTACGTGGTATAACGTAGACGTTCAAAGCGTACACACATCCACACTTATGAACATATGTACATAAATCATACCCCTATGAGCTTATTCAAAGATGGAGCCGGTAAGTCATCGAGATTGACAAAGTCACCATAATTGCCTTTGTTGTCGACGAGAATATCGCCTACCACTGAAAGCACAACGTCGTTGAATCATAGAGTATTTGCATCTAAGAGAAGTCGAACCCAGGACATGAGGTGCTACTAAAATAGCTCTTATAACCGCTAGGCTACATGCCCTTTCACTTGTATCGATAGATGGCCATAAAAGGTCCATAGCCTGTCGACACGGTCCATGGTCCACGTCCCTGTGCCTGTCGTGCCCTCGTGCCAGCTCGGCCTGACCAATGGTTGTGCCTGGCTAAGAGGATGGCCCATAGTGCCATCGCGACATGACCAAATTATCTCTCAATCCATTAAGCCCGCTAGTTCACTAAATATGAGGTATTCTTCCTTAACCCTAGATCGTAATGAAAAAATATCATGTCTATGTAAATCCCAGGGAAAAATCCTTCATATTGTTTTTTTCTAGATCACATAAAAGGTTTGTGCGTCTTTGTATTAAGATAGAAAAAATATTCGATACACACGCCGTAACGGCGTCCTAAGGGCCCAATAAAGTTTTATATAGACACTCAGACCCTCCATAGTATACTGTAGCTAAGCTATTACATTGGATAGAGATCAACCCAAATTTGCGGCACCGGCAAGGAGGCATATGCCCATGCTGCCGACAACCTCGCCATCCGCTGGGAACAACTCACGCAGCACCTTCGTATGAGCAGGGTCACCGTTGAATATTTGTTCATACGCCTTCTTGGCTGGCGTCGGTGGAGATGGCGTCCCGCTAGATAGTCCCAAACGCTTCATGACAAGGTACTCACCTCGCTTGGATGCCGGGATATGAGCTATGCTCTGCGTTGCTATTCGCCTGCTTCGCTTGGGGAGCGAGGGCGGTGCAGTCCGCCGATGGTCGTATTATCTCCGGGCAGCTCCAGGAGTGGCGGCTACCTCCTCTTTGTGATTCGCTCGGTGAAGCACTTGAGGCATCTGTTGGCCGAGGTCGTCTGATGTGAAGGAGTGTGGTTGACATTGTTCGTCGCAGCCATGATCGTCTTGTCTCACTGGGTGGTTGGCATGACGTTGGAGTTGGCGAGCATTGGGCTCATGGGCCGGGAGGAGTGGCCGCATCCACGCCTTGGTGGCTTGGACGCGCCTTGGCATCCATGTCGCTGGGTTTTCCCCCCATGGTGGCGTGACTTGTGGCTGCCCCTGCACCGGCGACAACGGAAGTGAGTCCGTCATCCCTCGTCCTGTGGGAAGCCTCCATCGATGCCCCAACATCCTAAAAGGTGGCTGCTGGATTAGGCGGGCTCCTAGGCACTAGTGCTCTTGCTGGCCGGGTGATGATGAGCGAGGCGTCGAGCTCCTCTAGCATTGGGTTGACCCACGTTGGAAGCCTCGGGATCGCGCATATATGCTTCACCAATAGATCTGGCTTGGAGGAGCAGTGTGCAGCAACAGAGCAGCGTTGGTTTCCCTCATCGGCTTCCTTCGTCGCTGCTAGCATCATCGCTGGATTTCGCCGCGGCACCCTATGCGGCCCTGTTCGAGCTCGGTGGACCGCAGCGGGGCACATGCTGGGAGGTAGGTGGTTTGTTGCCACAAGCAGAGTGCCGTGGTAGGTCGACACCCATCTCCACCATCGTCGCAGTAGACCTAGGCTGCTTGCAATCCCTGACTAGGTGGCGAAAAAGTCATGGCAACGTTGTGGCAACTGACAAGTTGCTACTCGGTGCGAGTAGGACAGACAATTAAAACACCTATCATGAAGCTTTGCGGGGATCCTGTGGGCTTGGGGAGCCGGTTTGAATGAGGGTCAACTGCAGCGCCCGTGCTGGCGGGCAGGGAACGGCCATCCACAGTTCGAGCAGGCAGGCCGCGCAACAGTTGGGGCGTGACTAGCTACATTCCTCCGCCTTCGCACAAGTCCCTACCATCCCGCGTCCGCTCCGCCACGACCCAAAACCATGACTGAATGAGTTTGGGCGAGCGGTGGGTTTGTAGTTATCGGCTTTGCCAGGCGACGAACAACATCCAGGTAAGTTGTTGGGGGGTCACCGTCGGAGTTCTCGCCATCGTTGTCTTCGTCCACTCACCAACGACGCTTTGTGCGCCCACCCGAGGAGTAACC